TTAATAATTTTAAATGATAATTAAACAATACAAATCATCCCCAGATACCCCTTATTTAATGAGTTGAGTTTTGCACCACATTATTAGAAGGCCACCTATAAGCATCTGATTTTCATTAGTCCCTTCACTGCTTTCTTAAAACAAGGGGTCACTAGACAGACATTCTGGTGATTAGGGTGCTAACCTGGGACTTGGGAAACCTGGGTTTAAGACCCTGTTCTTCCATGGACTGCTTGAGTGATCTTGGGAAAGTGACAGAGGCCCAATTTTTTAAAGAGAGAAGGTAGGTGAGATAATATTTTTTATTGGATCAACTTCTGTTACTGAGAGAGGCAAGTTACTAGCTTACCCAGAGCTCTTCTGGCTACCATAACACTACATATAGCCTTTTAAAGGTATTTAGGTGTTGCGCCACTCAGAGCTGTAACTCTTAGAATCCTGAGTCTCATTTTCAAAAATGACTTAAGCACCTGAATGTGAACATCTGTATCCCTATGTTCACCCCTTTTACAAAATGTATCGTAGCCCTGTAAAAGTATGCCTTGCTGGAGTATCATTTGAAAACTTATAATTTGCTGATCATTATTGTCTTGGTAAAATATGTGTGGCAGCATTGCATGTAAAGTTATAGGATTCCTCTGTATGGTATTACTAAACATGTTCCAAGTCTGGGGGCAGCAGCCACAAACCAATTCCCCAGAGCCAATGCCTCAGCCAGGTGTCAATAAAATCAAATGGACCATCACCTGGTTAAGTGGCCATTCTTTGGCAGGAAAGAGGATGTGGGTGAAAATCTACATCTTGACAAAGGAACAGCTCAGGGGTTGGGGTCCACACAGACTTTCTGTCTTCTGAACCCCAACTGGAGATGATTCTCAAAGAAGAGAAAGAACTATAAATGGAGAGAGGAGATGCTCCAAATTATTCCACCCTTTCTCTCTACCCATGGCATCCACAACACCTGATGAGCAAAGGGAATAGCTTTGGACTGGGGGAGGGATCCTGACTGACAGAGATTCAGCCAATAAAACTGCTTAAATGTGTGGTGAAAGAGACTTTGCTTTGAGTTCTTTCAGCTTGTTAAGTGAGGGCTTAGCAATGTTTTACTTTTATTTTCTTGTAAACAATTCTGACTTTTATGCATCATTACTTGTAGTCACTTAAAATCTCTCTTTCTGTAGTTAATACATTTATTTTACTGATTTATCTAAACCAGTGTGTTTGTATTGAAGTGTTTGGGAAACTCCACTTGGGATAACAGGATTTGTGCATATCATTTATTAATAAAATGACAGACTTTACATGAGTATGTATTGTCCAGGAGAGAGCTGGGCAGTACAAGACGTACGTTTCTGGGGGAAAGTCTGGGACTGGGAGTTTGCTGGTGTTGCCCTGCAGTGTATAATTCACGAGTGGCTGGCAATAGCACTCATACAATATAACTGAGAGTAACTTGCATGCTGGAGGCTCTGTGAGAGCAGGCCAGGAATGGTAGCTCTCACAGCAAAGCAGGGTGAAAGGCACCCCAGGCAGGAGAACTGAGGAGACATATCTGTTCATCAGTCCAGATTGTACCCTGGATAGTGTCAGACTGAGTCTTATTAAAAGTCAGTTGCCCTTTATCTTTCTGTGTCTCAGTTCCTAATCTGTAAAATGGGGATAATAGTATTTTCCTAACTCATAGGATGTTGTGAGGATAAATACATTAAAGATTGTGAGGCACTCAGATACTGATAATGGGAACTATAAGTACCATAGTTAGACAGACCAACTATATATATATATATATCCTTGAAACAATTGTTATTGGGACAATGATTTTTCTTGGAATGAGACAAATGTGTTTTAGGAACTGGTGATCTGTGTCTCAGTTACTTTCCTGCCTACTGAGTTAATGTGATAAGACAGTAATGCTCGGATTCTTTTAGCGCCGTGGTTCTCAAAAGTATTTGATCGGGTCCCCCTTCTTTGTGTCTGTAGTCATTTACGCCTCCCATCCAAGTAAATGTACACCTCTACCCCGATATAACGCTACCCAATATAACATGAATTTGAATATAACACGGTAAAGCAGTGCTCCAGGGGAGGGGGGGGGCGGCGGCGCACTCTGGTAGATCAAAGCAAGTTTGATATAACGCGGTTTTACCTATAACACGGTAAGATTTTTTGGCTCCCGAGGACAGCGCTACATTGTGGTAAAGGTGTATCACCACTCAGCTCTGAAGGCAGCATTGTGCCAGCAGCTGCACAGAAGTAAAGGCAGCAATGTGAAAAGTGATATTTGTCAATATGAAAAGTGATATTTGTCAATATCACTTTTCACAGCAGACTTAGTTCCCGATTGCCACCCTTATTTCTGCGCTGCTGCTGCCACTCCGGGGCTGACAGTCAGAGCCCCACCCCCTCCAGATGAGGGATGGGGAGGAGGGTGAGGAGAGCCTGAGCCCGGGCTGCCTCCAGGTGAGAGAATGAGGGTGGGGGGGAAGGAGAGCCAGAACTCACGCCTCCCTTGGGAGGCCTGCCCCATAGTTTGTGAACCGCTGTTTAGAGTGTCCTGTCTCTGCATGGATACATGTTAAATATAAAGCAGGCAAAAATTATTATATCGGTAGAGGGACCACATTGCTCTAACTATTTAATGAAGTGTTCCTCAAGCTCTTGGACAGCTTTCATGAGGAGAAAGATAACAGATAAAACGAATAAAAGTTACAAATACCCATTCTTACAGAGCCTTGCTCGATCCTAGTATGTTGGAGTGTGTTTCTGAGAGTAACTATGTATCACCCTAGCAGGGTGGCTGCTTACTGAGGCAAAGGTCACTCTGTCATGTCCTGCTACCAATTTCTCCCTTCTTCGGTATCCCTTAATAATTCACCGTCCACAGATAATTAAAACATTCCCCTACTGGGGTCCCATTTATTGAGTCCTTATATACTGGCCCAAACCCCAGTTAATTCACTCTTTCCCTTTAGGCAGGGAATCACCAGCCCTTCTTCCCAGAGCTAAGTCCCAGGAGTCTACCAAAAGTCTCTCAGGCTTTCCTTGGTTGGAGCTCAGGCTTTCCTTGGTTGGAGCTCAGCCTTCTGGTTCAGACTTTCAGGCCTGTCTGTCAGTCTGGGTCTCTAGCAAGAGCCTCCTGTTCACTGCAGCTCCTCTCTATCACAGTGCCCTTGGTCTCAAGGTCTTCCCTGCAGGAGCCTTTCACATTTTGTATGCGGACTCACACCCTTCTACTGCCGTTTATAAGCAGGGATCTTCTAAATCCCTTTTGCTGCGGAAAAATGCGGAATTTGCATTTTTATAGAGAATGTTTAGTTTTTACACTTTGTGAAAAAATAAAAACATATGCACAGGGCCGGCTCCAGGCACCAGCGCAGCAAGCAGGTGCTTGGGGGCGGCCAACGGAAAGGGGTGGCACGTCCGGCTCTTCGGCAGCAATTCGGCGGCAGGTCCCTCAGTCCCTCTCGGCAGCAATTAGAAGCAGCGGCGGTAGAGCTGCCGCCGAAGTGCCGCCGATCACGGCTTTTTTTTTTTTCCGCCGCTTGGGGCGACAAAAATGCTGGAGCCGGCCCTGTATATGCAGTAGAACCCCATTTATCCGAGCCTCCATTGTTTGGCTCTCTGTATTAACCGAATCGGGGCTGAAAGCTCGCACTCCAGGCAGTGGAACTCGGGCTGTCAGCACTAGGCAGCAGTGCTCCCCATTGTGGCTAGGGAAACTAAAGTTCAGCGTTTAATTTTAATTGCAGAAAAACATGGGTTTTTATGAGGGGGGGTTAATCAGAGAATTTTGTTTTCTTTATCTTGGAAAACTAGAATCCCTGTTTATAAGTCAGTCACCAGGATCTCTCCCAGGTCTGGCTCATTCTGTAATCAGTGTTAGCTAGCTTCAGTCGTCAAGTGGTGAGCCACGCTGTTACAATCACCCTTTTCTCCAGCTTTAAATCCATGGCTTTGGAGGGCTGAGAATAGTATAGTTTTAACCCATGATAGACATCCTGATACAATTCCTCTCCACTGGCCATGCACAATCCTGTCTGTTTAAAAGTTCTCCTTCTTTCGGTGTCTTTTATATGTGAGACTGCGCTATTTGGTGAAATTTACCCTGCAGGGAAGAAGGCTTTGTCAGAAGTCAGGTCTGTGGGTGTTTATATGACAGCGTGTAACTGCTCTCACGGTGTGCTTTGGAAATTATCTCATAGACAAACCCTCCTCTCTGTTACTGAGAAATCTATGGATGAAACTACTGAAGTCAATGGGAATTGCCAGTGATTTCATCTGGATCAGAATTTCACCATAAAAGTCAAAGTTGGGCCTTTTCTGAACTCAGAGAATAAATGATGGGAGGCCCTGCTCATTGATGGAGTTTTTGTTTTCTTGTTAGCAGGTTACAAACTCAATGCTCCCCTCTGCTGGAGTACAAAAGGGCCATTTTATGATAGAGTTTTCTGGGACAGCTAAGTGTAAACACACTTCTCTCAGTTCCCTTGCTTAATGAATTTCAATCTGTTTAATGCTATTAAATAGAAATATTATAAGAAATGAAAAAGAAAGCAGGGAAAAATCATATTCTGTTGCGTGAGAGGGAGGAAGAGCTCGAAATCTGATTGTGTTAAACACTCACAAGTAATGAACAATAAATACTGTGTTAGGAGATGAGGTTCTCAGATCAGTAGATTCAGTTTCTACCATGCTTTGACCAGGGACTATATAAGGGTGTGAGGAATGTATTGTCATGTTTGCTACGCACTTTGGAGCCTCAGTTTTGGAGTTAAGACTGAGCTGCAGTTAATGGGGAGAGTGCTGTCCTATCAGTGAATTGCTAGGCCAACTGGCTGTGCAGAACTTTTATTTATGTGGCTCGAATAACTTCATTCTCTCATATTGTTGCCATTGCTGCCTCAAGCCAAAATGCAATGCTTACATCTGGTACAGTGGCATGCAGCACATCTGGAAATACTGTGAGCTGTTAAATGACAAGTTACTTTCTTTTCTTTCAGTTCCGTCTGGTGGTAAAGACAGCACTGAAACTGCAGCTGGTGTTTGTGGAGTATACGGAATCCAATGCACCACTTTTAATCCAGGCAGTATCCACAGTAGATGAGAAGAGAGGTGAGTAGCTGATAATATAGAGTGAAATCTAGGCATCACTGAGAGTTTTGCCTTTGATTTCAGTAAGGCCAAGATTTCAGCTGTGGTGTGTGTTTGTCTGTTCATCCTAGAGGAATCTTCCTCAGTCATTATTTGTCCCACAGTCATTTTACAAAACTGCTCCTTGTTTTTTTGTTTGTTTGTTTGTTTTTAAACATGTTTAAAGTATTAATATAACATGGAGTCACTGAGAAGTACCTTCTTCTCTAAATAATTCCATGGGTTTCATTAGGGCTGCTGGTGGGGTAAGATAACATTTAACATGAATAAGCATATCAGAATCTGTAATATAGTGAAAATATACATTAAAGACATTGATGAAACCTGTCTTCAATGTTACCAGCAAGTAGAAGTTACTTTGTTTTCCTACTAAGACTCTAAGACTATATGGAACTTCTCCATAATGAGTCTATCTAAGGTCCCATATCTATCTCTATGGCCCTCATTACTGGGATATCTAGGGGCCTCACAATTTTTAGTATAATAATTTTCACAACATCCCATGAGGTAGGGAAAAGCTGTTATCCCCATTTTACAGATGAGAGACTGAATGACTTACCCCGGTCACACAAGAAGTCTGTGGCAAAGCAAGGAATTGAACTCTGGACTCCCAAGTTGTGAGTGAGTGCCCTCACCACAGGATCATGCTTTCTCTTCCTGCTTAAAAGTGGCCATCTAACATGGAGAAAAAACACGCCATCAGTGTTGTCCTTTTGTCATCCAAAAAACCTAAACAAACTTAGTGCCAGTATAAACGGTACATAGAAAATGTTCTGTTTGTTGCATTGCAATAAAATCCTCCAGCAGACATTATGCTGAGACCTGTCATCCTTTATGTCCAGAAAAAAAACTTGAATTAAAAAATGTGCACACAATAAGAAAAGAACAAAAATGTTATGGTGGGGTTTTTGGGTGGTTCTTGCCACAAAAATATTGCAGAACTCCAATGTGCTCTTTTGATTTGAACTGTTCCTTTGACTCCAGGAAGGTTTGTGAGGCTGCAGACCCATTGTTGTGGTCTCACACACATGGAGATTAAAACAAAGTTCCCATCCTTGGAATTTTTGCCTTGCTGCTGAACTTCTTCAAATGACTCGTTATGGTTAAAGTAAAACAAATGATTGGTGGGAACAGAAGCAGGGTACGGGATGTTAGGGAGAGAAGAGAAAGTTACCAGTTTTCACTCTTAACTATCAGAATGGGTGTGTTGAAAAGATTAAAAAAGAGCCATAAATCCTCTGTGGCTGGGTGGAAGGCAAGGGGATACTTTAAAAATGTGGACTGTTCAGGTTGGTTTTCTGTTTTGAATTAAAACCCATAAACCTTAGAATGCTATACAGCAGAAATGTACTTATAGTGCTCATGTAATAGTGAGTTGTATGATTTATTTTTACAGCCAATTGTAGTATTTCCTCAGCCCTCTGAACTCACTTATATTCTCAATATGTTCAAATCACCAGCTGTTCCCATGCTAGCAAACACCATTAAACAATGGGGGGGGGGGGGGAACATGCTACCATGTGCCATCCCCTTTTATATCCTGTAGGATGGCCTCAGGCCTACATTTCACTCCCCCCAAAAAGTAATGAAACAATTTGAAAATCAACATAACATTTTGAAAAAAGATACTTATGGTTAGATGATTGTTGAAAGCAAAGTGGGAGATTATTGGAATTCTCATACCAGTGGGGAGGCATATTGCATCATGGTTTCACAAATAACTTGTTATCCTTACATATCTATTATGCTTAAAAATAAAAAAAAAGCCCCTTTCAGTTATATTAGAAATTCCTCAAGAGTAAAACAAGAAACTACAAGAGAGGTGTGTGTTATTGTCCTGTCTATTTAGGGTTTGGGGTTTTTTTAAGGTCATCAGAGGAACAGCATTTCTTTTGTAGTTGTGGTGATGCTGCCTTTTTAATTACAGTTGGTAATTGCTGCCTTGTAACGGTGGCAGACCTGCTTTAAAAGATTTGTTTATTAGATTGAAGAAAAGAGGAAGAATATGTTACATGCCTTGTTTTGGAAATTTTATCATAAATCTTGGAGCTAACTAATTAAGTTCAATGCTGCTTTGAAAAAAGCCCTGTTTTTCATTCACATGCAAGGCGATGAGATATGACATAATTCTTTAACATGTGTACCACACATGATTAACCAAAAAAAAATCCAACCTTAATAATTCAGCCCTGTTTCCAAGTGATCCCATCTGTGATTTCTCTGCTAGAATACATCCATATGCAAACTGAAGTACAAAGCTCCATAGAAGCTGCTGGCTTAATAATGGATAAAAGCAGATCATAGGTGAGCAACTATACAGTCCCTAGAACATACGGAGCACCCTCTTGCTTATCCTCCCTTATTTAATTTTTTTCTGCTGTCTGTTCTTAGCTACAAGGGAACTCTCTCCTTTCAATTAAAGTGTTGTGTACTGGGGGGGCTGGAAAGTGGTGTAGGAATTCTACAGTGCCTCCAGCTGCTACTTTATCAGAAGCATCTTTTTTTAATACAGAGATTAAAGCGTTGTGTCTGAACTGAGCACGGTAACATCCTGTTTGTGCTTATTGTTTCTGCGACTTTGGCTGCTGTTATCTGACTTGTAAGTGCCCTCTAATATCAGAATAGTTCATGTTTCCTGGCCTTGTCAAAACAGAGTTAGATATTCAGGAGATTAATACTGATGTTCCTAAAATCGGATGAAAGAATGTACATGCACATAATAAGCTTAATAAAAAAAACAAGTATAAAAGGTGCAGAGGCGTCTCCAAATGTAAAGGTTGTCACCTGTTAGTGCTTATGACTACTAGAGATATACAGATGAACTTCTGTTAATGGATGAATTCTCACACAGCAGTACCAATTCCACCTTACTCCTCACCTATAGTATTAGTCTTCTCCTGGGCTTTTCATGAACAGAAAACTATTTGTGTTTATTTGCATGTCTGCCCTGTGATGTGGAGACTGTATATTAGAACTTGGCTGACCTTACCAAACTCATCATCCTTTTTTATTAGATTTGAACAAAAGTCATGTGCACACAGTTTTAAGGAGAGGCCAAAAATAGTCAGAGACTCAGGAAGTAACTAGATACACTATTTGGCTATACTGTATTTAAAGTGTCCTGAATCATCTAGTACCTAATAGTTGTCACTGTGCTTTATACCATCCATGGCCACTGTGAACTTAGTGGCAGCAATGTGAATGAAGCTCAAATGATCCTTCCCCAAAAACACTGTGCTTCAGCCAAAGGAGAATCTCCAATAACTGTCAGCAATAGGAAGCCTATGATGTACAGGAGAGCAGTTCTGGTTCCATTCAGTAGGAAGGCACCTGTACACATACAGAGAAAGAAACCTCTACAAGTTCACTACAGTTTTACTACTGATATTGTACGGAAATCATAATCTTATGCTTATAATAGTGCCTACCTCTTGTATAACTCTCTTCATCAGCAGATCTCAAAGCATTTTTCAGAGGAGTCAGTCTCATCATCTCCTTTGACAGATGGAGAATTTGGGGCACAGAGAGATGAAGTGACTTGCCCAAGGTCATCCCGTAGACCAGTGACAGAGCTGGGAATAGAATCAGGTCTCATGAGTCCCAGTCCAGTGTTCTGTCCACTAGGCCACACTGTGCCCCCTTATTCATAGATTCATAGATTCTAGGACTGGAAGGGACCTCGAGAGGTCATCGAGTCCAGTCCCCTGCCCTCATGGCAGGACCTAATACTGTCTAGACCATCCCTGATAGACCTTTATCTAACCTACTCTTAAATATCTCCAAAGATTGAGGTTCCACAAACTCCCTAGGCAATTTATTCCAGTGTTTAACCACCCTGACAGTTAGGAACTTTTTCCTAATGTCCAATCTAGACCTCCCTTGCTGCAGTTTAAGCCCATCGCTTCTTGTTCTATCCTTAGAGGCTAAGGTGAACAAGTTTCCTCCCTCCTCCTGATGACTCCCTTTTAGATACCTTTTAGATACCTGAAAACTGCTATCATGTCCAAACATTCCGTCAGCTATACGCCCACTACCCCACGGAGAAGGACTGCCGGTTCCTGATGCACCAGAATCATTTTCACTTGAGT